TAGTGTTCAGGGCTTTGGGTTTGGGGTCTATAGGCCTTCGGGCTCAAGAGGTTGGTGTTCATGGAATGAGGGGCTAAGGGACCGGAACGTCAAGTCTTGCCCCTTAGCTCAAGTCGTTTCCTCTTGAAGGTTCCGAGAGCTTCAAGATCCCTTCAGCCACTGCAGCTCGGTGATGGCAAGAGCTCTACATTCACCCGACACCCAGCACAAGGAGTGACACAGAGCTTAGGGTAAGACCTTCTTAAGTCTCCAGTATACAAGGCGATCCTGCGAGAGGTCCTTGCATCTCATGCTTCAATGCTTGAAGGCTCGTGGGTAGTAGTCAATGGCAGGCTTATGAGTTCTTTAACTCGCGTTTGAAGCAGTCAAATCTCTTGTCACAAGTTGCTTCCGACCAGACTTACTAAGTACCCTACAGTAAAAACCCTAAACATCTGGTCCGGTAAGGCAAAACCCGTGCATCTGCGGCCTCCGGCGTGCGGCAGAAGATGGCCAGGGGACGGCCGTCAGGAGAATACTGGGATGGTGCAGAATTTGTTACTAGCCTTGAGGGTGTAGGGTTTAAGGTTTGGGGTTTCTTACCTACGTGGCCTGCTGCCCAAATACTTCTGCACAGACAGCTAATTTCTCGACGCAGTCTGGTAGGGGACGATGCAAGAGGATCTCTTTGGCGGCGCAACAATTACGGACTAGGGCGGCTCTTTATGTTGATGGGCATGTGTGTGTATATGTATATGTATATATATATATATATATTATATATATATATGATATATGGTTCAAGCAGGGTTGCGGGGTCCAGCCCTCTGATGCCTGCACCTGCAGCACATCAGCCTGTTCGGGGATTCGTGTTGCGGCCGGAGCTCCATCGTCCTTGACAGCATAGAGGGTGTCGTTGCGCGCAGGAAAGACCTGATGGGAAGTCTGAGCATCCACACCACACACCAATGCCTAGCTGCTTGTTGGTCTTGAAACACGCTGAGCTCGAGTTTCAATTTGTCACCATTTCAAAACCCTCGAAGACCCTAGTATAGAAGCCAAAATAAGTACCAATATTACTGTTAGGGTTCCTTATCATAGTAATACTATAAAGGAGCCCAAAAAACAATCGAGCCCTGAACGGCAAGCAGCCCTCAGCTTCGCAAAGTAGCCTTGGACTGCTTAGAGCCAAGGGGCGAAGGAGTGGTGCTCCGCATCATCGGCGTCTGAGTCCTTGCCAGAGAAGACCTGAAATCAGCTAAAGCATTGAAGCAGAGAGCACCGTACTCCGTTAGAATTGCATGTAGGAACAAACTGTTTGAGGCCTTCCTGCAATGATTCAAAAAACCTATAGTCTCCATTGTAGTTCCTTTTTGTAAATATATATTTGGTTAAACCAAAAATAGGAACCACAATGCAGACTATAGGGATGATCTAGAGTCTGCAGCGCAGCCCCTAAACCCTAAACCCTAAACAAAAATGATCTAGAGTCTGCAGCACTGCAGTGCAGCTCACCAGGGCCGTGCTGCAGAGGGAGCTTGGCCAGTACTGTTGCATCGGGTTTCGGGGTGATTTTTGAACTTGAAACCCTAAAAACCCTAAAGCCTAAAGCCTAAAGCCTAATCCCTAAACCCTCTCAAGTAAGTTTAACCCATGGACTGTCAAGTCGAGATTAACTTTCCTGTGTGTCGAGACTTCTACCAGAAAACGACACCGTGTACAGACTTCTTGGTGCTTGTGCCTCCCGACTTGCTGACTCCTTTAGTCTTCACGACAGCTTGGGTTGCAGGGAGTTTAGGGTTTATGGCCTGAGGGACTGAAGGCTTTGACATGGTAGCGTTGATGGTTTAGGACTTACGGCCTCAAGTTTGAGGGCTTTTGGTGATTGAAGGTTCTTTTCGTCTTCAAGGAAATAAAGACTCCACCAGAGGGCCGCACGGCGTGAGTGGCCCCGAAGCCGTCATGCTGAGACGTTCGTTCGACTTGAGGCGTCCTGGCAGGAACTGACGAGGGTTGCAGGGTCAAAGGGTTCCAGGTTTTCGATGGTTTAGGGTTGAGGACGGTGCAAGTGGATTCGAAACTGATGGTTGCTCTCGCGAACCTGCCATCAAGCGTTTCTGCAGCTGGCGAGGCAATTCCGTAATTCCGCGCTATGCCACATAGAGTCTCCGGCCACAGCAACATTGAAGCAGGGACTGTACGGTCTCTGTGCCTACATGCATTTATGTGTTTGTCTGTTTGTGGAGAAATATACATATATATATATATATATACATAGGTGCATGTGTGTGTATAGGTTGTACGTATACAGAAAGGCTCTATAGACGGTTTCTATCTCGGAGGCTCTGAAGAAACTTGTGGGGTAAGCTGACACTAAAGAATTGCTGTACCACGGTTGATGGACAAAATCCTGCATGACTCTATATACCTAAACTATGGGATTTATAGTACTATACTATATTTGGGTCATGCAGAATTGTGTCCATCAACAGTATCTCGAGTGATGTGGGTTGCTAGCTGTTGCACTGGCCCAAGATCACAGAGAATGCGACCACAGCAACTGACCAGAGTAACGTAGGGTTCTGAATCGATCGAGCTTGGGGTATAGTAAGACCAGCAGATGGATAGATAGATAGATAGATAGATAGATAGATAGACAGATAGGTAGGTAGATAGATAGATAGATAGACAGATAGATAGATAGATAGATAGTTTAGATTAGATTAGATAGATTAGATAGATTATAGATTAGATAGATTAGATAGATTAGTTAGA